AGAGTGGAACTTGGGTTTTGAAAGATACAGTTTGCTCATAGATTAAGCTACTTGTGGTGAACTCTAATTCATCATGTGTCTCTTTTACTGCCTCTATTATTACAGTGGTTGTCAGTATATTATACAGATACAAAACAGAGTAGAAGGATGTAATATTCAAGGGCCAGTTCAGCCAAAAATGAAAATTCTGTCATTAATTACTCACCCTCATCTCGTTCTAATCTCGTAAGACCATTGTTCATCTTCTGAGCACAAACTAAGATATTTTATGAAATCCGAGAGCTTTCTAACCCTTACTAGACAGCAACACAACTACCATGTTCAAGGCCCAGAAAGGTAGAAAGGACATTGTCAAAATAGTCCATGTGACATCAGTGGTTCAACCGTAATGTTATGAAGCTACAAGAATACTTTTTGTGCACAAAGAAAACAAAAATATCGACTTTATTCAACAATTTCTTCTCTTCAGTGCCAGTCTTCGATGTGTGTTCACGAGAGTATCCCGACGCTGTGTTCTGACATAGAACTCGGATGCGCTGCATCTTGTTTACAAGCAGAGGAATGCACACGCATATGTCGTGTTACTGTCGTGAACGTGCATCAAAGACTGAAGAAAATTGTTGAATAAAGACATTATTTTTGTTTTCTTTGTGCACAAAAAGTATTCTTGCAGCTTCATAAAATTAGAGTTGAACCACTGATGTCACATGGACTATTTTAATGATCTGGGCCTTGAACATGTCAGTTGCATTGCTGTCTATGCAGGGTCAGAAAGCTCTCGGATTTCATCAAAAATTAATTTTGATCTCCAGTGAACTATCCCGTTAACATTATATCAGTTATCAAAATATTCAGTTTTTGTTACCATGATGTACTGTTGCGACTATTTTTTTAGGTAAAATTCTGGCAACCACAGCTGCTGTTTTTCCCCGTATTTCACAGCTTTATTTCTTACAGCACATTCTGTAAACCTATAATTGTGAAGTATAATATAAAAAAAAAACTGCTTGCTCAATGGAATGGGAGACCTTTTTTATATACCCCTAGTGCTAATGCACCCACAGAAAGACTATCACATACTATACTATGTCAGTGATACTTCTAATGCTGTTCTAAAGGATAAATTATCTGACTTCTCACCTTTCCTGGTCTTTAAAACCTCTTCAAAAATGCTAGGGACATCAACCCTGTGTGAAGCCTGCAGCCGGACTGTGTACACAGTTCCTGGGCTGAGCCCTTCAACGAGGTGGAAACCTTTAGATGTATTTAAAGCCTCTGAAAGCTGCCAGATACCATCACCTGAAGGAATAACCGCATAACCAGATAGTGTTAGCTCACAACCCAGCAGAATGAGGAGATATCTATGATAGTGATATGATATGATAGATATGATAGAAAGCAACATTTTGAAAGGTTAGAAAAGTTGACAGAGTAAGATTAGTAAAAGGGCTGCAAATAAAGATCCACAATAAAAATAGCAGAGAATGAATTTCATTATCAGTTGGTCTGGATTTTGGGCTGTTTTGCGAGTTTTAGAGGTTTTTAGCTAGAATGTTACTCTAATTTTATATTTTTAATGTGTTCATTTCCTTGTTCATTTGCTAGGAAGTGAGTAATTAAATGTCACTGTCATCGTTAAACTTTAAATTCTTAATGTAAGCACCAGCATGTATGTCAGTCAAACAGAGCGTAATAGAGGAAGAATGAGTAATTAAATTGTTGTTGTTGGACATCAAATTCAGTTTTTAAATAGACATGTTCAATTTGTAGTCCTAAAATGTTTGGGAATTAGCCCTCATTATTTTCTTTACACTCTCAAAAATAAAAGTTCCAAAAGAGTGTTTTTGCAGTGATGCCATAGAGAAGAACCATTTCTGGTCCCCAAAAGAACCTTTCAGTGAACAGTTCCTAAAATAACTATTTTGAAGAATATTTTAAAAATCTAATTAACCTTTTTCGACTATAAATAACCTTTTATGCATTTGAAAGGTTCCATGGATGTCCAAGGTTCTTCATATTACCATTGATGCCAATAAAGAACCTTTATTTTTAAGAGTGTAGAACAGAATGGCTGTTTTTATTCATGAATCATGAGTAAAGTAAGGTCTGCAGTCAAACCGCAGATTTTGAAACTGCTGAGTGAACTCTTTTAGTTCTTAAATAGCAAATTGTTAGGGATTTTCTGTATTAACTGTACACAGGTATTGTACACATATTTTTAATTATGCATTTCATTGTATTGTTTTAAACTCAACGGAAAAGGTACTGATAAATTTCTGCTAGGTCATTATGCATTTTCTACAGATTTTTCCTTACAGTGTATGTTTCTACAACACACAGCTATTTTAAAATATGAAATAAATTTATTTCAAATAATTAATTGAACATTATGGAAAAAATATGGAATTACTAAAAAAAAAAAATTCTGTTTTGGTAATATAAACTGTTAATTTCAAATGGAAAACTTTTAAATTGTCATTTAAATCGTAACCTTTATATTTACATGTTTGCATACAATATATACAGTACATTATACATATTTAAATTTGCACATTGATCAAAATGTTGAAAAGCCAATTAATGTAAGAAATCATCATATTAATCGATTTAAAATATTTCAAATAGTTTTTAGTTGCAGCCCGCAATGATACTTTCCAAACTACGCTACAAATATGTCTACAATCTACACAATGCTGCAAACATTGGATCCTGACAGATCAGTTCAAAGAGTAAGATCCTTACTGTGATTCATTATGGCAACATAGAGTTGTGAATCAGAACGTTCTCCTCTGGTTCTCCAGCTGATTCTTGCATAGGTGTCAGTTACAAAGGTGGATATGTTGAGCACAACTGAGAGAAATACATAGAGAAGAAGATATAGAACAAAAGACAGGAAAGACTCTCAAAAGGTTAGTTCCTGCAAAATAATTCAAGTCCACCCGTAACCACAGGAATGTGTTACAGAAATAATACAGTGATATAGAAATCTGAATGAAAACATTGTTAAAGTCAACATGAACCAGCTCTTCTGTAACATTTCAGAGTGAAAGAGGATATTTATTTTAGACAAAATCGTAAGGCAAGTTTTCATGTTGACTCTAAATGTCCATTTCACTTAAGTATGGAGTTATGAAAATGATTGTTTAGGTAGATGAATGGATGAATACCTAAGGTATGAAAGGTGGTATTGACAGAAGGAGTGTCTGTATTAGATGAGGTGAAAGAGAAAGGTTGCCCTGCAAGAGAGAGACAGAGTTCAGACCACATTCATTTCCCAGTAGAATTGACTGCAGCAGTGGAAAATTTTAATGTCCCTGTCCAGACTGTCCAGAAAAAAAAATATTTTGCATATCATGAAATCATTATGTATAGTGTCAAATAAACATGAATAGGAACTAATTTAAATAGTTTATATCAGTTTATATCAACCAGTGGGACTCAAAAATGACCCATGTGACCCAAGTCATGGACAGCAGGGGAAAAAACAATGCTAAATGCAAATACTAAAATGCAACTAATCATTGGCGGGACAGCAAAATAAATGGGCCTAACAAGGGAAAAGTACTGTCAAAGCTTGACAGTTACTAATTTTTATTTTTTTTTGCATTTGTACTATGAGTATACAGCTGGTCTTTACAAAATGAACACCGTTGAGTGATGTGTTCCTGTCAGCAGCGAGACTGGTTTTGTCAACCCTGATAAAGACAGCATGTATTTGCTGTCTTTAGCAGGGGCTCAGGGACAGTACTACTGCCTCACAGAGGAGCTCTTAAAAGACAAAAGCAAATGCCAACAGCAATCAAGCTGAAGTAAACTTGAACCTGCTGTCACTATGTGGATTTTTGATGGAGGACTACGCTCATTTTGCAGAATGTACACAATAATCAACTTCACTGAATATAGAGTTATGCTGGGCCTTTTGTATTTCAACAATGATAACTGATGCTATTTATGTGACTAAAATTAATGCTACAACTACTGGCACTATTACTAGTATGACTAATGTTAAGACCTAAATGTTTTCCCATGCCATTATGAGTTTATGTAACTAATAACTTCATCTGGAGTTATTGTAGACAGTAATGTAGGAGTTAATATACTAATTCATTTTTCAGTTTACAGAAATAGCTACAAATCTGCTGGTACATACTCAACTCAGAAGATGTCACCTCAGATGTTGACAGATCATCTTAAAAAGACAGTAGAGACATAAAAATAAAACAAATATAATAATAAGATAAATCACTTCAGGTTTTATGTCCATAAAGTTGACATATTTTACTGATAAATTAGCTTTAAATTGCATTTATCTGACTGAAAACGGCAGAAGGCATTTGAAATGCTTCAAAATGTTACATTTTCCAAATAGAAACTACTACTACAACTATGCAAAATGCTATAAACTACAGTATGTGATACATACAGCTCTCTGTCGAAGTTTCAGCTGAGACTGTAGAAACGTCAGGAAATGAATGTTCGGGCATTGTAACTAGTTCATGAGAAACAGAAGTTGGTTGATAAGAAGACAGATCAGTTTAAACAAACCCATGGAGAATGAGAATATGAGCATAACAGAAAGAAATAGGCAATTCGTAACAAAATTGTGGCCTAGAGAAAAACTGTGACGATGATGCAAAATCAGTTATCCAGTAAGTAAAAACACATCAGTAGGCAATTGTTTTTACTGAGGCACCTCATTGATTGGTCAATGTATTGGTCATTACACCCTTTTGTTCGTCAGATCACTATGAGTTTTGCATTTTAGCAATAATCTAATCATTCTCCTTTATGCAACAAGATCTTGCCAACCGCAACTTAAGAGTTCTGTAACTGCTGCTTAATCACTTTCGAACACCTTGCGGCTGTGCTAATTAGAACACAACTAACTTTGCTTGTATCAGATGTTTGTGTCTCAGCATGGGCACTTCAATTTAGATTCTGATACCAGATCCATTATAGCTCTTGGGACTCTGCTTAAAGTTGCTACCGGGCACACTTACACGCCTCAGAGACGGTGCCTCCTTCCTCACTGATGGCTGACCCGCAGCCCACCTGTGTGCACGCACTCAGGTAGAACGTATACCAGTTGTCCTCCTGCAGATCACGCAAGACCCACTGTGTTGTATCTGATGCACTGATGTTCACAGATTTCAGCTCACCCAGAGTCTCATTAACTACAAGAAAAACAAGAAAATTATTGAGTTTTAAAAGATTTAAAACCTTCAAAAGTGTGGGGTCAGTAAGAAGTTTTTTAAAGAAAGTGATACTTTTATTCAAAAATGACAGAATGATTTCTATTTCAAATAAATGCATAAATGCACAGTCACAATCTGCCAGTCGATCTCTATTTTCTGTCTACGCAACTTTATATATTACTGTCCAGCATGATGATAATTTTCTTTAACCTTCCTCCTCCCCAGCACCACTTGTCTAGATCTGTCATGGGGTTCTTCCTATACTTTACGTAATTAAAAATGATGGATTTACTATCATATCTAGTGAAAACAAAAACCTACGTACTCCCTATCCTTAACAATAAAATGAAGTTAAGTCGAGATTCAAAAAAGCATTTTCATGCTTGAAACAATGTTCTTCAAACTTTATGCTCATCAAGGAAATCTAAATAAAGACACTGTATTACGTTTCCACGTTCTTTAAGCAGCACAACTTTTTTGTTGTTGTTTTTTTTACCTGTGATTATAGTTAGAAATCAACAAATCAGCGTATTAGAATGATTTCTGAAAGATCATGTGACACTGGAGTAATGATGCTGAAAATTCAGCTTTGCCATCACAGGAAAAAAAAACATTTTAAAATATATTATAATAGAAAACAGTTATTTTAAATTGTAGTATTTTTGCACAGTATTGCTGTTTTTGACTGTATTATTTTAATATATAAATGCAGCCTTGGTGAACATAAAACTGTTCTAAAAAACATAAAAACATCTATAAAAACACAAACAATGTTATTGACCCCAAACTTGAAATATATACAGCAGAATATAGTATAGTTAAACACTGATTATATAAAATTCACTGAGACAGATGATGTAACATGAGATAAATCTGTGAGAGTCATACCTGTCTGATATTGCAGCAAGTATCCCGTGAGAAAGCCGTTGGTTTCATGCGGAGGCGCCCACACCAGCGTGATGGAGTCTTTCTGAAAGTTTGTGGCTCTCAGGATGGGAGGTTGCTCAGGAACTGTGGGAAGATGTCAAGCGTTACTGGTCAGTATGTACCTTAAATTAGGAAAAACTGTTTGGCGCTGTATTTCAGTGCAAAAAAAAAGGCTTAATTTAATAACCACCTACAATAACCTTAGTTCAACTGCTGAAATAGCATTGCATTGTATTTCAATTAAGTCAATGTCATTCTTTTCGCACCTCCTTTCTAAATTAGTCTTATTATGTTCAGCAGTACATTTGGGTGAACAACAAACTGTGTAAAATTCAACTGAATCTACACAAGAACTTAGCAAATGCCCAAACCACTGAATTTCAAAACGTGTCTACTGTCAAAGCATTCTTGCCTCCCTGTGGAGTTGTGAAAGAGATGGGACTGCTGCTGGGCCCATTCCCTCTCCGGTTAAAGACGTTGACAGTCAGGCTATATTCAGAGAATGGCTTCAGTCCCGGTACCATGGTGCGACTCCTGTTTCCAGGCATGGTGAGAGACTGTCTCTCTGAGGGAATTCTCTTAGAGGTCAACAGACTTTGAGTTTGCCACCAGTGCACCTGGGAGCAATTGACGGAAGGAAGAGAAATAGGGTGTTGATGAGGAGATATATATATTTATGGAAAAGAAACCAAGAGTGAAAATAGAGGCAGAGAGAGAAAAAAGGCAATAAGGAAACACACAGTGGAGTCTATTAAATGCTACAAACAAGCTTGTTTGTTGCTGAATGACCATCAGCTTTTGTCCAGAACCACAGGACCTTTGAACTGGAGGGGTTGGGAACTCACAGTGTATCCTCCAAGATGGCCCCTCAAGGCGGATTGGGGCACCGGTGACCAGCTGACCCTCAGCATCGTACAGTTCAACACCTCCACAGATACGTCTTCAGGAGCCGCCAAGGGCACTGGAAAGGCCAACAGAATGCAGATCTGTTTGAGGCTAAACTTTCCCAACTGATGCAAGAGGGTAACAGCTCACAAATACACACACACACACAACCATTTCCTCAAGCAACTAGAGCCACCGAGGAAAAAAATGGACTGTAATTAAATGACACACTGACTGTTTCCAGGAAAAGTGCACATGCTAACATGAAGCTATCCACAGAGATATGTGGGTACATGGGAAAGGCTCTTTCAGGGATGCAAACTCACTGGGCAAAAAAAAAAAAGTGACAAAGATGCAACCCCCTTTAGTTTTATAATGTGGATTTACGAATATATTGGGATATAGTGGATATAGGATATAGTGAAAAACTCAACCTAGACTCTGTTTTACTTCAGTTGTCTTAGGCCACATTCACACTGTTTTTATGGAACCCATTTAATATTACTATACAATAATAATAATAATAATAATAATATTAATAATAATTATTATTATTAAATTATTATTATTATTATTATTAATAATAAGATTAAACCAATAAATACATGTATTACTACTGTATTGAAAAATACAAAAATGAGTATTTAATATTATTATTATTATTGTTGTTGTTGTTGTTGTAATACTAAATTACAGTGCTAATTTATGTATGCCTTGATTTTTTTGCTTTTAAACAATAACCCAAAGAGCTTTTGCTTTGACAGAAAACCGCAGAGAGAACTTTTTGTTGATTTATAAACAGATTTATAAACAATTTTAATCGCAAATTTAGGAAGATGGTAACGTGTTGCATTTTAAAATGCATGTTATAAGCGACACACTCACTCACGTGCAGAGATGTTCATGTGGGGCAGCATTTGCGTTTTTAAGCACAGAAGCTAAGAGGACTTTTTTTTTTTTTTTGCTTTTACTTTTTTGACAACTCAAAAGTAGTGGTTCTCATTTCATCCCAATTTCAAAAACTTGTCAGATTTACATGAATCACACAAAGGACCTACACTGGATGAAAAACAAGTGCAAAAATTGTGCCTTTGGGAATACAGCTGCTTGATATTGGGGCAGTACCCTCAATGGGACACCTTTGTACCTTCTTTACCCGTAAAGGCTGCATAGTAGTACCTTACAGTAGTATGCACCCTTTAGGGGTAAAGAAGGCGCTCCTTTAGGGGGTAATATGCACCCTTTTGGTACAAAGCTGTCCCTTTGTGGGTACTGCCCCAGTGACAAACTGTTTTACCCCTAAAGGTACAATTTTTGCACATTTCTTCTGAGAGTATTTTGGATTCAAAACATCAATTATCACTGAAAAGTGTCACGTTTGCATCCCTGCTCTTTGCAACAACTGCATGAAAACGGTCAAGATCTACCTACAGCTAAAGCAACCATGCTTCTGTGTATCTACAGTGATGCAGGAATAGCAGGGACAAACAGTGATGCAGGAATAGCAGGGACAAAAGCAGCCCAACCTGTTGCATCATCCTCAAGACAATGCCAAATGTCGACTAGAGACAAGGGCATGAGATGGAAAAATATGAAAATGGAATAAAACAAAAAATATTCTCACAAGTGCTTGGCAAAGAATGTTTCTGATCCCTAAAAGCACAATGTAAAAGCTCAGCAGAAATGGCTGATCCTGGTAGAGAGTGGATTAAACCACTCTCCCAACTAATCTTCTAATCTTAAGTGTTTATTTTTGGCTAATCGTGGCAGTCACACACGACTGTGAGATGAATGCATTAACATGCTGTTTGACTCACTGTCTTCTCCGGAATAACCAGTCACCACTCTGGGCTCTGGTGCCCACCCGTGATGGTTAAAGGCCTGGATCTTGACCTCGTAGGGGACGAATGTTGGGGTGTCTCGCACCACAAATGAGTGTCTCTTCACCATCTGTTCTTTCCAACTGTCCTCGACACCCATGAGCCTGTAGCTCAGTTTGTATTCCAGACTTTGACCGTTGTGCTCCACAGGCAAGAGCGGCTGGTGATTAAATGGAAAAGTGGGTCAGTGCACTGCAAAAATTACTGAGCATTTGGAAAGAATGAAAGAGTTCGAGAGACATTTGCTGATGGGTTTGCAAAATCTGGTGTGGGAACCTAGTTTCTGGGGTGCCTCGCTTGGCTTTCTTTCAGACTTGCAATCTGAAGGAATTTTGACTCATAAATAGAGCATAAATTGGCTCGTGAAAGGAGATTTGCTCATATACTTGACTGCCAGTGCAAATTAAGTTGTTACTGCTTTAAAACCTTCAGATGAGACGTTAAACCGAGGTCCTGACTCTCTGTGGTCATTAAAAATCCCAGGATGTCTTTCGAAAAGAGTAGAGGTGTGACCTCGGCATCCTGGCCAAATTTGCCCATTGGCCTCTGATCATCATGGCCTCCTAACAATCCCCATATCTACTGATTGGCTTCATCACTCTGTCTCCTCTCCACCAATAAGCTGGTGTGTGGTGGGCGTTCTGGCGCACTATGGCTGCCATCGCATCATCCAGGTGGATGCTGCACACTGGTGGTGGATGAGGAGATACCCCCTGACAATGTAAAGTGCTTTGAGTGCCTAGAAAAGCGCTATATAAATGTAATGAATTATTATTATTATTATTAAAACTACAAGACACCAGACTTCATAGGAGCTCCAGGAGCTTTTAGTTCCCAAGCCTTCTTGCGTGAAAGTATTTGCCATTTTTTGCTTCTAAGCCATGCGTATATGCATATGCATTAAGGTTGTCTGACAATGCTGTTTGCATTTTATTACCTCCCAGCTGATGTCCATCTGATGTGGCAGGTGACCCTCAATCTTAATGTTTTCTGGGTTCCTGTCGGGAGCTGTACAAATGTGAATATGAATTATTTAACATCTGTCTCAGTCAATAATACCATTGCCCTCTAACACTGCCAATGTGTATCACACATAATGACGAGCATGCAGTCATTGATAGTCAGAGACAGCGCTCGCTTAAAAGAGCATTAAAATTTATGGAGCTTTTATAGACATCTGTATAATTTTCTCAGGGTAAATCCCCACAAAGACACGCTTCAAACAAATCCAAGGTGAACCAAGGACAGCCCTAGACGTTGGATGGTAACATGTTACGAAAGCAAGTCTTCAAGGATCACAGGTATCCCTACCACAGGGAGGTGTCTTATATCTTTCGGAGGGCATGCTGGGACGGCTTTTCCCAATAGTATTAACAGCGATGACTCTGAACTGGTAGTTAATGTGGCCGTAGAGCGTCAAGGGGGCAGAGAACTGGCTGCCTGCGACTCGTAGAAGCTCCTTCCACTTCTCCGGCTCCCAGTGGTTCTCTTCGTACTGGATGATGAACTCTAGTCATAGGAACAGAGCACAGCGGTCATTGAATATGCAGAGCGCACACTCTCAATACACTGTGGTTTGGCCCCAGTGGGAGCCCTCTTGAAATATTGTAGAGCAATGTTTTAGTACGAGCATCGTCCATGAAAACGACTTCAGAGGAATCTGCTTAAAGCAAAAGCCAGCTTCAGAAGCACTGAAAATGGGTACCATTACATATGAAGGGAACGCTAATGGAAGCGTTTTACATTTGTTCTGTAACCCTGACAGTACAATACATTTGTAGGAGGAGTTTTACCTGTTATGGGACTGTTATGATCACTGGCGGCCGTCCAGTGGAGCCTCACACTGCGGTCTTTCAGATCAGTGAGTGTCAGTTGAACCGGTGGATCTGGGATATCTGTGTCACATTTAGGACACAAACACTTTAAACAAGCCTTATATCATAACTTTTTAAAGGGATAGTTCACACAAAAATGTAAATGTTGTCATCATTTCATCACCCTCATGTCATTTCAAACCTGTACTGTAGTTTCTTTCTTATGTTGAACATGAAAGAAGATTGTTTGAAGAATGCTGGTAATCAAACAGTTGATGGTCCCCATTGACTTCCATAGTATTTCTTTCTTTCACTGCTATGGAAGTCAATGGGGACCAACAACTGTTTTGTTCTTTAAAATTCTTCAAAATATCTTATTTTGTGTTCAACATACGAAAGAAACTTATATGGGTTTGAAACGACTTGAGGGTGAGTAAATGATGACAAAGTTTTCACATTTTTGTGTGAACTATTCCTTTAAGACAATTCAAAAGAGAATCAGAATTGCTTAAAGAAATAACTGGAGCAATAATGATCACAAAGTCTACACAATATAGTTTGTGTTTTCTGTACAATCTTTTGCAGAGATTGCTATACTATTATTTGAATATTTTTCCAAGCAGGTCTATTATTGTAGTATTAAAGTAATACATAAACATAACATATTCTAGTTGGTATTCATTCTGGTCATTCAATCGTACCTAACACAGTTATGTATGCAGAAGCTGTATCTTGGTCCAGTGATGTTCGAACAATGCAGGTGTATTTCCCTTTATCACTGTGGCTCACATTGACAATCTGGAGAATTCCATCATCTGTGAAATATCTGCAAATAACCCAAAAACGGTACAATATAAAATAACAGTTAGTTGGTAGTTGATTGATATAATGTTGTCAAATTAAAATTCATGAATTCCTAAATGAGACATCAGACTCTCAAATACTTTGTTCATGTAGTAGTTCAAAGTTTCTAAATGTCTTTCACAATGTTCAAAGAATCTTACATAGTTTTAGATCTTGAATGAAATAAGCAATGTGCATTCCAGGAATATTTATTGTAACTTTCTATGTTGGCAGCAATAGTCAATGGTAAAACAAGGCAAAAAACAACGAGTCATTGACAAATAAAAGTGTCCAGGATGGAGAAAAAAAGTTGAAAAATATGTGGCAAGTTCTTAGAAATGTATTCTTCGTCTTTAATGTAGTTCTAAAAATTGTTTACACCATTTTCAACTACATTTAAATGGAATGCCTCTAAAATGTGATGTAACCAAGTATTAATTGAAGTATAAATTATTAAAATATTTTCCTTACACCTTGAATGTGAGTGTACAATCATTGTTTTCAATGTAATCAGTTTTTTAATAAATATTATGAGTTATTAATTAACAAATAATCAGTAGGTTCTGTGGGAGTCGCACCACATAACTAGAACCTACATTCTACAACCTGATATATATATTTTTTAAAAATCATCATAAAAGGTCAAATGACCTGATATTTTTCAAGTCTTATTGACTATGAATCACAGATGAACTTCAAAGCAAAATTCAAAGCAATCAATTCCCAAATTTCCAGGCAGACCGGAAAAATAAAGTGGTTGAAGTTGCTATGCAGCCTTACAAAAATAGAAACCAGGCATCCGTCGAATGAAGCAGCCACTTATAGTGCAGACAGCTCCATTGATTATAATGGAAGTGATCTAGTTTGTCTCAGGACGGTATAGACACATTGTCACAGGCGGATCTGTGGCTTTTGTTGTGTTTGAAATGCCAAATAAGAGCTGCGTTAAATGTTGTCATGACAATCAATGCACATCTCTTTTATTTTCACTAAGTGTTTGTCTCCAATTTTTTTAATTAATAAAAAATGATTTGTGGTTCGACTGGAACTAATCTGCAGCACAGAACTGAATCATGGCCTGCTAATTGGTGACCTGAGGTAGAGATGCAAACATAATTTGTCTGGAAGCAAATAACTAACAGTCACAACAACAAAACACACTTTTTTTGCATTTACACAAAAGATCTTGTTGGGCATCATATTCCAGCCAGTAGAAAAGAGGTTAAAGCTCCTGCTCATTAGCTGGAGTACCTTTTGATTTTCAAGAGAGACATTTCGCCCATAAGAGCTTACTATTACTGATAAAAGCTTACAATTACATCTAGCTCGGCTCTGTTACATGACTACAAAGTGTAAGTACTTAATCCATGATTCCAGCACTGATAAAACTATAAATAAAATGTCTGCACTTCAAAAATGTCATAGCTCACACTAATCCTTCCTGTTTTGACAGCGCAACCCTTTCTGAAAACAGGATTTACTTAAATGGCTTCAATGAATTCAAAGTTGAACCATTAGTGACAATCTATCTCATCCTACTACTTAGGGAAAACAGGTCACCCACCCTTCAGAGAAGTTTGAGAGGATATTCATCCCATCTTTCATCCACAAGATCTCCAGCTCTCTTCCGAGGGTGGGATCGCACTCCACCTGGCACTCCAGCTCCGCCATTGATCCTCTTTTGACCTTCATGTCTTGAGGAGGTTTGACGATCCTCGTTGAATCTATCAACAGAAGACGCTTTGGTATCAGTAATGATCAGGAAGCAGAAAGCTTTTTGATTAAGGAAGGTGGCTAACCTTTAATGAAAAGTTCAGTGGTGAGGCTCATGGTGCCTTCGGAGTTGTTTGCCAAACATTTGTACTGGCCCATATCTTCCATCTCGACTTTGTGAATCTGCAGGGAGCCATTCTTCAGGAGAGAATATCTCTCTCCATCTAGAGAGCCCTCTGGGTCTTCTCTTCTCCTACAAAACAAACATTGAACCCTTCAGAGTTCTTCTGAAATAGAGGCCCATGGGAAGGGCCTTTACTGAAATACAGATGCTCTGTTGATAAAACCGAATCAATGTAGCCTAGTC